ACTTTACATATTCACTTGGATTTAATTTAGTGGTTTTTGCAAAAATAAATAAAATTAAAACCCAGTGAATACATTTACAGTACTTCATAAATAGGTGATTTTCTGTTCAACTGCGAGATCTCGCGAGATGCATGAAAGACCCGCGTCACCACAAAAATTGAATGATTTGATTTTGAACTTGAATTACTTCAGTTCGTAACTCACATTGACCGGCCGATCTTCGACAGAGGAATATTGCTTTTGAATACCCTCACTTAATCGAAATTGTCTATCATCAAATGTGTACAGCACATTATTAAGCAGGGAAATGCTCCCAAAATATTGTTTGCGTTTGTCGAATCCCACGCGATGTTTGATGCCATTACGACACTATGACCTTTGTTTGTCCTGTTTTTACGTTCGATTTCACACATAACTCATGATTCTCGCAGTGAACGGAAAATGGTCTATTGTTAAATGTTGTTGACAATTTTTTCCACATAGACACTGTCACAGATAAAGAAACTGGTGAATCTCAATATATGAATATAACTGAAGCAAAGAAGGCTTCTGAAGGCTTCCTGACAAACCTATAAAGCCAACAAAAGTGCCAACTTCTGAACCTGCAGCCAAGCCAAGGAGTCTCCCTCCAAAGCCAAAACCTAAAGCCAAGCCAATACATAACTCGCAATACACAATTCAAGTTAAAGATTTGGCTGATTATGTTATTAAGAAACGAGAAGAAAATGATTTTGTTTCACAATTTAAGGTATGTTACTTATAGTTTTAATAGATGCTTAATATGTATGTGCTTACATAGTATGTTTTATAATTGGATCAATGCTTATTAGTATTATCATTTTTGCTGTATGGGGCAATATGTCTGTATCAAGGTTTGTGATTTTCATTTTATTTTAAAATGCTGAAATAGTTTATCAATGCAATAAATAAAAAATTAAATGTTATATTATTAGTAAAATTTTACACATTTTGAGGTAGATGTACATGTACATAGTTTGTATTGTGAAATGTAGGAACAGCTACTGCAAACGGCTTTGTATGAGATTTTTATTTTTTTATTTCCAGTTGTTGCCTCAAAGCGCTAACACAAATATACCCAATGAAGCTGCTAACATTCCAGAGAACAAATCAAAGAACAGATTTCGCAATGTTCTCTCATGTGAGTGTGTATAATTATTACATGAAAATATTACTGATATCGTATTATTTTAACCAGTGTTCTTCATATATATCATATTTTGTGGTGTTGCCAAAACAAAAAAAAACAAAAAATCACAAAACTATATATGGGTGATGTGGTAAAAAAGTCATTCGCCCCATACATTTCGTATAATTTTTTTTAATGACTGGAGAATTGATATTTGGTATAATTAAACCAACCTTTCACAAACTTACTCAACTATATAGTATATAAATTCATTCTTTGTTTTAAAATGATCTGTCAAGTATTATAAGCATATGATTTTTTTAGATTTCTTATAGTGCTGCTCGTGCAGCATATTGTAGTTAGTTAACTTTGTATCTTTAAACTTTTACTGTTTTATGACGATTTGGTTCCTTATATAGATGACCATTCCAGAGTGGTATTAGATGTGATTAATGATGATCCCAATTCAGATTATATCAATGCTAACTATATTGATGTGAGTACTTACATTTGAAATTCTTAGTTTTGTTTAAATTCAACATTAACATTGTGTGACACCACAGCACTGATTGTATAATATACGTGACTGAGCATGTTCTTTCATTTTACAGGGTTACCAGAAGAATAACGCATACATTGCTACCCAAGGTAAGTCCTCTCTTCATGAACTGTATTAAAGTTATTAGTGTACACTCCATCACTATGTGTTAATGCTATGTTGAACTATTACAGTTGATACTATAATATTACATCTATGTAATATTAGACATTTAAACAAAGTTATACAACACTAACATGCATATAATTATTTTAGGACCCACTGATGTAACTATTAAAGACTTTTGGAGAATGGTGCTGAAAGAAAATGTTGGCACAATTCTTATGACCACCAACCTTTCTGAAGGTGGGAAGGTATGTACAGATTAAGTTTATAGCAAAATTTGAGATTTACAGCTTGATTGCATATTATCGAACATATAATATTACAGTTTTAGACAGTGGCTGCGGCACAGGGGGGGGGGCAGAGAGAGCGGTCGTCCCCTCTTCCATTCAAAATCAAGCTGTAACCCTTTGTATCAGCAAAATTTGCCCCCAAAATGCAGGAAATAGCGTTTCAGAGCGTTTACATTTCAAAATTTTTAAGGGGGAGCATGCCCCCAGACCCCCCAATAAGGTCGCACCTTTGGTGCAAGGTTGGTGAGCAGATCTGGCCCCCTCATGCAAAATTTCGTGCCGCCGCCTCTATTAGGCAAATTGTCAAAGTCTTTGATTTGCATATGTTCATCTACTCACTGGAGGTCCACATTTATTACATCCTGTTTGGGGTCAGTCAGTGTATGTAATGAAGTGCA